TTGTTGTTGTAAAATTCATTCTTTCTTCTATCAGTACCGGCGCGGACTGGCACGCGAGAAAAGAGGAACATCTTCACCACACAGCTAGCAGCCGCGCAGCCACAAAGAGTTTTACAACAAAAGGCGGTCGCACACGCACGATTCACACGACAGAAATCGATGGGCGCGTGTGGCGGCACCGCAGCCGCCAGCCGGTCCATGACGCGCGCTAGGGCTGCGTCTTGCGCTCGGTCTCAAACGCGTGCGCGTCGTCGCCGGACGTGCCCGCCTTGCTGCGCTTCCAGGAGGCCGCGCCAGCGTTTGCGCCAGCGTTTGCGACGACGCGCTTTCCCCGAGAGCGCCGCGATGCTGCGCGGCGCCGCCTCGACGGCGTCGAAGCGCCGGTACTTGAAGTCGGTGCCGAAAAAGTCCGCCACCTTGTAATCGTCGCCAGAGCCCTCGATGGCGCCCTCGGCTTGCGCCTCGGTCGTGATCTCGTTGGCCTTGAACGCGTTCTGGCGCCACCAGAGCTCGCGGTCTGCGGCGCGGTGGAGCCGTGTGTCAATGCGAGGTCTCTGAGGGCGCGCGCGCGGCGCTGCGGCAGTCGGGGGCGGGCCCCGGGCGCCCACGCACATTGGTCCTTCTTGCCGTCGACCGCGATGTCGTCGCCGTCAAGCTTGCTCGCTCGCCCGCTACTCGCATAATGTGGGTAAACGAAAAAAGTAGCGCCCAATTCGTCTACGTACGGCTTAGTGTGTGGTTGGGGTGGCCTCAGGCATCCCCAAGGGAGCCTCTGCGGTGCCACATAAGCAGCTGAGTGATTGTCGAGACTTTAAAGGATTCGTTTGAAGAAACGCAAACAAGACAAACGGTACTATGGTCACCAGTAAACGAAAATTCGACTTTGAGGGATCATATCTCAAAAGGCTGGGTGAGAGCATAGCATTATTGTTGCATATTATACCACATAAGGTCAAACTTGACCCCAGAAGCATCAAGAACCCGATGCTCCGGCTCGACTGTGCCGGCACACTGCCTCCTCGCGCACGCTGCTCGCAGGCCGTTGCGGCCCGTGGTGCGCCAGAGAGAGAGGTCGACGCGTTGCCCCCGCCGGCGACCCCGCGCGGCTCAGGCCAGCCAGAAGGTGTGTGGTGACGGCACCGTGGCAGGAGTGCGGAGAAGAGCTCGCCGAACGCGAGCAGCAGATGGCCAAAGTGTGCCAGCGCGAGAGCCTCGCGAGCGGGCGCAGAAGGAGCTCGCCGTGACACGATGCCGGGCGGTGGTGGTGCTCTGGCGACTGTGCACAGTGGGCAAAGTCAGGCTGCAACAGGGCAGCACGTTGGTAGTGCCCCGCTGCAGCCTGGCCTGACATGCACAGGGCGAACAGAGGCGGGACTATCGTCCGGCGCTCGTCACCGAATCTGGGCGAACTTCGACCGCCGCCACAGCTCACCACGAGCACGCAGCGACAAAATGTTGACTGTATGGAAGTCGAGGCTGGTCCATAGGAAGAGGCTGCCGTGCGAGCCGGCAGCAGGCTGGCTCGTCGTGGACTGCCGCGGCGACTTTTTTCGGTGTCTTTCTTGATAGTACCGAATACGGTACTTTCGTTTACCCACATACGAGTACTTCCTCGTGATCCGAACCGCCACCACCCTCGCCTCACCCTCCCGCCGCCTCGCCGCTCTCGCTCGCCGTTCGCTCGCCCACTCCCGACTTTCTACTTCCTCGTTATCCATCTCGCCGTTCGCTCGCTCGCTCGCGCTCGACCTCCTACTTCCTCACGATCCACCACAGCCACCCTCGCCTCACCCTCCCGCCGTCTAGTCGCTCGCTCGCCGCTCGCTCGCACGTTCGCGCTCGACCTTCTACTTCCTCGTGATCCACCGCCGCCACCCTCGCCTCGCCCTCCCGACGCCTAGCCGCTCGCCTGCCGCTCGCTCGCACGTTCGCGCTCGACCTTCTACCTCCTCGTGATCAACCCGCCGCCACCCTCACCCCCCGCCGCCTAGCCGCTCGCTCGCCGTTCGCTCCCCCGCTCGCGCCAGACCTTCTACCTCCTCGTGATCCACCCGCCGCCACCCTCGCCTCGCCCTCCCGCCACCTAGCCGCTCGCTCGCTCCTATCCGTGCCACGCCTATCCGTGATCCTGCCGTTACGCGTTACCGCGCCGTCCTTGCTCCTCCCTATGCCGTGCCGCTCCTTCCTCCGTGCCGCGCCGCCCTTGCCGTTTAGCCCGCCGCCCCCCCTGCCGTCCGTTACCGCCGTGCCGCCGTACCGCCCACGCCGCCGCCGCCCTCCACCCCCTCCACACCGCCGCCACCGCTGCTCACGCCGCCGCCGCCCTCCACCTCGCCCACGCCGCCGCTACCCTCCACCTTCTTCCCACCGCCGCCGCCGCCGCTCACGCCTCCGCCGCCTTCCATCTCGCCCACGCCTCCGCCGCCCTCCACCTCTCCCATGCTGCCCCCCCGCCCTCCACCTCGCCCACCCCTTTGCCACCACCCTCTCCTTCGCCGCCCCTCGCCCCCACCGTCCTCCACCTCCACCCCTCGCCCTCCCCCCCGCCCTACCGAACCACCCGCCGCCCTCCCCCCTTTCTGCCCCTCCGCCTTCGCCATCCCCCATCTGTGCATTCCACTCCGTTCGCTCCCTCCCGCTTGGCGCCCATCCCACCCTCCGCCCTCACCCTCCGCCCCTGCCCTGGCTGGCCTGGGTGGCATCTCCGCATCATCACGCGCCAAGTGGGAGGGAGGTGGACGGGGCCCTGAGCCGACCTAGCCCCAGACGGAACGGGGCGCCCAACACGTGCCCGGATTACTGTGCCTTCCCCGGGTGCAGCCTTTCGGTTCGTGAAGGGTCGGTGCGTGTCGTGACCCCCCCTGGAACACCCGTACCCCCGCACCATCTCCGTCGCTTGAGCACTTGAGCACTGGATAGGGTCGATTCCGCATGGTACGGGACCCCTCGATCGTCTCGCCCACCCACCCTCATTGGTATGTTCATTGGGGGGGGTCATCACAAACACGGTACAGGATTGGTTCCATAACCTCTGCCACAACCGGGAGCGGCCAGGACTCATAGACTCGGTCGAAAGACCCCAGATTGGCATCCATGCCTCTCTGGACAGGGTGGCCCGCCACAAGGACCCCAGGAATTGCGACTCGCCGCTTTCTTATATAAAATGAACTCGGGGGCACGGGACGCGGCACAAACGGGGCACAAACGCCAGGCTACAAAGACGGGGAGGCACGTAGTGACGCAGGGGAGTCTAGGCGACGGCGGCGTCCTCCGACGCCGCGGCGAGCCTGAGCTCGGTCGCAATCTCTTCCGCCGCCGCGAGCTGCAGCGCGACTGACATGCGCTGGGCCTGCAGCGACAGCCACGACCGCGTCGACCAGCTCGCCTCGTCCTCGTGCTGCCGCTTCGAGAGCTTCACGGCGGCGAAACACGGCGCGTCGGTTACTGGCCGGTACGAACTTTTTCTCGGCTTAGTGAATAGGAGAAATTACGACGTTCCACCGGGGACGGAGTTTCTTGACGAGAAGCTAGCGAGGAAACGAGAGGGCGCTGAAGGGAATTGAAGAAAGAAAACGAGAAGGGTGCACGAGGAACTTGGTCGGGCACATGCTGGACTGGACGCCGGCGCTCGAAAGAAAGAAAGGAAACGGACAACCCAAGGGAGGTATGTATGTATGTAGGAAGGTGAAGAACAGTCAGGCAGGGATGGGCGCTTTTATGAAATGAACTCGGGGGCACGGGACGCGGCACAAACGGGGCACAAACGCCAGGCTACAAAGACGGGGAGGCACGTAGTGACGCAGGGGAGTCTAGGCGACGGCGGCGTCCTCCGACGCCGCGGCGAGCCTGAGCTCGGTCGCAATCTCTTCCGCCGCCGCGAGCTGCAGCGCGACTGACATGCGCTGGGCCTGCAGCGAAAGCCACGACCGCGTTGACCAGCTCGCCTCGTCCTCGTGCTGCCGCTTCGAGAGCTTGTTGCGCACCTTGTCCTTCATCTGGTAGAACAGCCGTTTGACCGCGTTGCACCACCCGCCGAAGGTTTCAAACAGGTACATCTGCACGTCGGTGTCCGAGCGCGAGAGGGCGTGCGCGTAGTCCGCCTTCTTGTACGCCACATAGCCGCCGCCGTCGCTCGGCCTGAAGTCGCCGTCCCCGACAGCGCCGCGCTGCTCGTGGCGCGTCGCCCTCGCCCGCAAGGCCCGAGAGGACAAGGAGGTGGCAGGCGGGCGGCGGCAGCGAGCAGAGAGGCAGCGAGCAGAGAGGCAGCGAGCCGCCGAGCAGAGAGGCAGCGAGCGAGCCGCCGAGCTGAGGCAGCGAGCCGCCGAGCTGAGGCAGCGGGCCGCCGAGCTGAGGCAGCGGGCCGCCGAGCTGAGGCAGCGAGCCGCCGAGCTGAGGCAGCGAGCCGCCGAGCTGAGGCAGCGAGCCGCCGAGCTGAGGCAGCGAGCCGCCGAGCTGAGGCAGCGAGCCGCCGAGCTGAGGCAGCGAGCCGCCGAGCTGAGGCAGCGAGCCGCCGAGCTGAGGCAGCGAGCCGCCGAGCTGAGGCAGCGAGCCGCCGAGCTGAGGCAGCGAGCCGCCGAGCTGAGGCAGCGAGCACGGCAGCGAGCAGAACGGCTGCGGGCAGCAGCAGCAGCAGCCGGGCTCGGGTGCCGCGCAGCAGTACAGCGGCGCCGGCAGCAGAGGCAGCAGCTCAGCAGGCGCTGCATCTGGCAGTTGCTCAGCGCTTTTGCACGCGGCTGCTCTCCGCGGAGTAGCCGCAGAGCGAGCTGCCGCCGACGACGGAGCTAGAGCCTCCGTCGGCGGCGTCAGCCTGCTCGGTGGCGCCGCAGCCTCTCGCGGGCGCGGCGCCGGGCGGGCAAGCATTCCGATGCTGCCCGCCATGGAAAACGCGCGGCAAAAAGGGTCGCTCTGCCAAGCGTATGTATGTATGTATGTGTGGTCGAGGGAGAAATTGTGGAAATTCCGAAGCACCCGGACGAACCCCAAAAACCCCAACAAAAGGAGGTGGCGACCCGGTCCCGGCGCGCTGCGCGAATACGCCCTGCAAGGATGCCCTACGTCGGCGCTGGCGCGCCGCTGCACGAGCAGTACGTGCAGCGGCTTCCGCTTCATGAGCTCTGGTGGCGGCTCCTCGAGCCGTACAAGCAGCCCGAGTGCCCGACACACGTTATGGTCACTGCAGCGGAGCTGCCCAGCTTCAACGCCACGTCTGGTTCGTTCTCGGACATGAAGGGGAACCAGACGAGCCGAATGGGCGTGTACGAGCGCACTGAGCACCTCGAGGCCCCCCCCGGCTCGCCTCCCTCCCATTCAACCAAGTATTCACCAACGCGCGGCGCTCGCGCGTCGAGGCTGACCCCTCCTCCCCCCTCGCTCCGTCGCAGCACTTCCGGCCCGTCTACCGGCAAAAGATGAACGCCAACGACGAGTTCATTGAGAGCGGCGAGTACCTCTACTACATGACCGACCTCTCCAAGGACAACTGGGTCATCGGGCCGGAGCCAGGCGGCATCCTGCGCGGCATACAGTCGAGCGGGAGCTCGGGCGCGCACTGCCCGAACATGGCGATGGGCTGGGTCGGCGCGACGGGCGGCAAGGAGAACGGAGGCTGGTCGCCGCCAGGCGGTGTCAGCGTCGCGCCCAAGTGCGCTCCGCACTGCCCGGCCACTCTTTTGACTACACACGGCCCATCGCAACATTAGTTCCGCAACAGGCAACGCTTCACCCATCTTCATCTTGCAGGTACTGCGGCTTCGAAGGGCCAAAGCTGGTGCGGACGCCAGATACCAATTATCTGCACATGGCCGCCAACTTCCGCCTAACCGACCTCCCGAGCCACCCGCGTTGTGGCTTGTCCGAGGACTGTCCGAGAGGTGCGCCGGTACCTCACCGCTCTCTCCGAGCCATCAGGTGTGGGAGCCCGTCATCCGCGCTTGCGGCGACAGCTCGCAAACCGCGCTGCTCGTCTCGTCCATCACGGAGTGCGCCATGCGCATGGGCGACGAGGTGGACTCGATCGCCGGTCTCGGCCCGAGCGGGACCTTTTGGGTGGACGGTGCGTGACGGGAACCAGCAATCCCTGTCCTTGCGCCCTGCGCTGCCTGCTACTGAGCTCCTCGGCTGTCCTTCTCTCGCATCGTCAGGCGCAGAGCGTGCCTCGACGCATTGGAACTTCGCCTACGAGCCGCGCGCCGCCGTCGGGCTGAAGGACCCCGACATGCTCGAGCAGAAGGACACGCTGCAGCCGTCGGGCCACTCGGGAACTCGAATGGGCCAGCTCGACCTCGAGACGGCCAACGACATGGCAAAAAGCGCTAGATGCAAAATATTGTGCCTGGCCTTCCCTGGGTGCACGAGGCGCGTCGCTTGGGTGCGCCCTTTCTTCCCTCTGGTTCCTGTCTCTAGACTGCATGGCGCAGAGGCGGCAGATTGTTGCGTCATGCAATCAGCTCCCTCTATCCGCCCTAGGTGGAGAATGCCGAGGCGCAGCTGCGCTCTTACCGCACCTGCCGGGACAACCCGCAGTACATCGCCGGGATGCCGCACACGCAAGAGCTCAGGGGGTACGGCTTCACCGCGCCGGACGAGGTGTCGAGCATGGGCGTGCCGCGCTGCGCAGAGATCCAGCAGATGCGCGGCCGCTGCGGTGTGACAGATTTCGAGAACTCCGCGCCTAGCAGCTAGCACGTCGTGCACAGCAACCTGCCGCCCACTATGGTAGTGCGCTCCCCGATGTCGACCCCCCCCCCCAACCCCCCCCTTCCCCACCCTTCCCCCCCCTTCCCCTCCCTTCCCTCCCGCTCCTGCAGAGGGGCAGATGGACTTCCACTTCGAGTACTACCGCACGTGCTTCGGCGACCTGACGCAGCGCTCCAAGGAGTGGTTCTGCACGAGGCCCTCGGAGATCCCCGGCGGGCTCGCCGTCGAACCCCTCGCACGCATGAAGGGCCCATCGACCGAGGCTGTCGGCGGTGCGGCGCTCCTCCTCGTCGCAGTCGTCGCTGCCTTCCAAGGCTCCGCATCGGCCCGGCGT